AAAAAAAAAAAAAAAAAAAAAGCCTAACAGTCAAGACCCAGTACTTCCAAGGAGTTGCTGGTATACAAGAGGATAAGGGCCTAAAGGATAGCAAGACATCGAGTGTTGAAATGCTTTGGAAAGGCATTCAATGATGCATTCAGTCACTATAAACATGAAGAACAAATCATAATGTGAAGTATGAATTTTACTTAATAAGTATAGTGTACGCATATTAGTTCTTTAGTTCTAGCAAACAAACCACACTCAGGTAAAATTCTAATAATGTCAGAAGTAGTGTGGGGGGCAGGGAAATTATGAGAACATGGGACTATCTGTCCAGTTTAGCTCTAAACCCAGAACAGTTCTAAAACATAATGTCTCTTAATTTGCTCTTAAATACTAAGATGGGGCAACCCCCCAAAATGTTAGTGGCATCCTGTGCTAGCAGGTCCCCATGATAGGTACCAACCTAAAGCTGGAGACATTGGTGCTTTCTGTGCTTGTGTCCTGAGTGTCCCCCTAGAACCCAGTCAGGTGAAGGTGGCCTCCATTTTCTGGACAGTTCAGAGAGACCTAAGACAGGGAGAGGGCGCTGCACTGGGTAAAATTCAGTGAATTTTCCAAGCACTGCCACTTCCATTGCTCAGCAGCTCTCACAGATATAAGGAGGAGGCCAGGAGGGAGTGAGGATGACAGGGTGGTCTCAGCCTGAAAGAAAAAGTGACTCCAGACACTTTGGTAAATTTTGAGAAAGAATCAGAACTGCAGAAGGATTCAGGTAAAGACCAGAGGGTCAGGAATGAGTTTGATCCAGCAGTACTTCCTCCCTACAGCCAACAGCCACACTAGTGCATTTTACCATAGAGACAGAGTACTGTGAACTCACGCACTGTTAGTGTGCATGCAGTAACAACAGCCCCAGTTCTTTCTTTTTTGTTTTTTTGCTCCGACTGCCTTCAGGGCAGGTTTGGCTGGCTTGAGTTGTGGGGATCAACCACAGCAACCTGAGCTTGACTGCTTTGTTGAAGCAGCCACTTAAAGAACTGAGTGAAAAAAGGTGGTTTTTTTTTCTTTGTTTGTTTGTTTTTTTTTTTTTAGGCCAGAAGATGCCTTCGGGCATTTCTGGTTTGCTGTGAGTATCTGGGTTCGAATCACAGCAGCTTGAGCTTGAGTGCTTTGTTTAAGCAGGCACTTAAACAACTGAGCTAATGGGCTGGACCCCCTAGTTCTTTCCCTGAAGAAAAAAATCACAAACCACTGTTGCTGCAGAATGTGTCAGTTATCCTTGAGCAGTATTGTCTGAGTGAGTGTCCATAACACCCACACAAGTGGCCACTTTCTACCTCCCACTCCCCCATGCTTAGAAGCTGCTCCATAGTAGGTGAAATCCAGTGTGCTCTGGGGATCACCCATGATTCCTTGTTCACCACACTTCACTCACCCTGCTCACTGCTGGTGCTCCAGGGCCCGGCCACCTGCAGGTGCGAAGGACCTGAATACTGCTGTGCTCTCTAGTGTGGCCCTTGCCTGGCTTCTCAGCAGTGGACTACAGGAGTGAGGGCACAGAGTGCCTTATCTAGTATAGCATCTATCCCAGTAGGACCTGATACAGGCTCACTGAGAGAAGGCACTCTGCCACAAGCTCCCCAGGGGACCCAGAATGCCACTCTGGTCTTCCAGTATTAGATGTAGATGATTCCAAAATTGGAGGGTGTCAACAGCTTTCAAACTAGGTGTTCTTTGCCAGGCATGGTGACAAGTAGTTGTAATCCCAGAAACTCCAAAGCCTGAAGGAGAAGTATGGTAAGATCCAGGCCAGTTTGAGCAGCATAGAGAGACTCTGTCTCAAACTAAAAACTAAAAGGATCTATGGTTCTGTGTTCCTGCGTTGTATCCCTGATAGCTTAAAACAAAACAAAAAATTTTGTTCCTTGAATCTTTTATGCTGAGTTGCACCAAGCTTCCCTGGCAGTGTCTAGAGGGCACATCTGAAACTGCATGGGCTTTCCACCTTGGACAGTGCAGTGGCCTTAGCCTGGGGAAAGTGCTGGTGAGTGTGGAAGGGTTTGAACAGAGAAAGTGGAGTGGAGAAAGCAGGTGGACATTTGGCAGCAGGGTGAGAACAGAGAATAAGTAAAAGGGGAGGTTGGAGGGTAAAAGGGAAAAACAGAAAGAAACAAAGGGAGACAGAGACAGATACAGAGAGAGGCAGGAGGCAGACAGATGGACAGATGGACAGAAATACAGTAGACAGGCAGGCAATAAGTCAAAAGGACTGAATCCAAGAGAACACTATCCACTATCCACTACTTAGATAAGCAATTCATCCCTGATCAGAGGACTGGAGACTGTGGGTGGCCTGAGGTCATGGTCATGAACACACATGTGACCCTCTGTTTCACTCTGAGACATAGGAGGACTCTGTTAACCTCAAGCGCTGCTGAGCCTGTCATTTTTCTCTTTTCATTTAGCAACTCTCTACCTGGATGAGGCAGCCTGTGCCCCATTGCATTAGGACTATTCAAGATGCAGAGCCTTGACTGAATTCTGTGCAGTGCTCAAGTCAGACACACCCCAGGGAGAAAGCCCAGGGCATGGGCTGAGACCTTCCAATGCAACCAGGACAGTGAGGGGCAATACGTTGTTGAGACGCTAGGTGGGCCTCTAGGTGAAAAATACCTTGGTGGGCCTCTTATTTAGCTTTTCCTTGGACACACCCTCCCAGACTTGATATCTCTAGCATCCTAGGAGATGCAGGTTTCTGTGAACCATCCCATATGGCCACAAGCCATCCCACATGGCCACCCAAATCTTTCCACTTGAGATTCAGTTTGATTTGATTTGATTGACTTGCTTTTGACTTTGTTGTTTGGACTGGTCTTGTGCTCATTGTGTCACCCAGGTTGACTTCTAGCTCACATCAATCTTCCTGCCTCAGCTTCACAAGACCTGGTGATGTAGGGAGAAAAACTGATCTCAGGTTGGTGACCTCCAAATCATACAGTGAACCTCCAAATGATATAGGGGAAAAATGATCTCCTGACCTGACCTGGATGAGTTCATCTTCCCTAAAACTGAAGAATGAGTCTGAAGAACAAACACAGGTTATGAGCAGAGTATATTTTTTGAGAAAAAGAAAGCTAGACAACAATGTACAATGTATTTATTATTGAAACTGTCCTGCTGATCGGTTTTGAAGCTGTCTCATTGCTATTTAAAAAAGAGAGAAAAAGAAAGCTCCTGTCCAAGAGAAGGACAGGAGGGGTGGCCCAAGGGTATGGTCCACGGGAATGGGGCTTTAGGCAAACCATGTGGTGAGGCAGGTCTAAGCTGGTGGAGAAGACATGGGAACTTGCTTTGGTGGGAGTGTCTGTCACTTCCAAGTTGCAAAGCCACCATGTCTTCCATCTTGTACCCTTGAGGGCCTGGTCCTGTCTACTGCGTATAATATTTCTATCTAATTCAGCTGGTATTATAGGTGTGCACTAGAGATTCTGTTGTTTGTATGTTAAAAAAAAATGGGGATTGGGAAGCTCCCACTGGATTCAGTGTTCTTGGAAATTCCTTCAAATTGCAGCTGACATTCCCGTGTTGGATTGGACTATGTATGTGATACTGGTGGATAAGGGTGGATGAGAGCATGAAAAGGAGCAACAATCAAAGAGAATCAGAAGAGGAGACAATGCAGGAAGAGAAGGAGGTGCATGGAGAGTAGGAAGGAACTGGGAAAACCATAGGGGGAAGCCTGAGAGGAGGATAGAGTAAAGGAGAGATAGGACCAAGACCAGGAATCCACTGGGGGAAAGAGGAGAAACAAGAATTCCAGAAAATGCTAAATCTGGTTCCAAAATTCATCAGAGGTTCCTGAACAATGGAAATGGAATAACTGCAAAGAACTGAGGAAAAATAAACACATACTGACACCATCAATAATCCCTGAGGCTGAGGCAAGAGCAGTGCAAGATCAAGCTCAGCCTGACCAACTTAAACATTCAACAAGAGCTTGATTCAAAAGTAAAATAAAAAACTTTGACTGGGGATGAACCTCAACCCAAGGGCAGATGTGCATGTGCCCACGTGCCCCCCTGTGTGAGAAACGGTAGGGGTACCACAAAGACACACACACACACACACACACACACACACACACACACACACTGAGTACCATAAAGATAAATAAACCTTGAGAAGACAAGAATTTTATAGCAGAGCAGGGAACTAGCAACCTGCACACAATAATGGAATTTGGACAAGGCCTGAAATGTTTCTTCCTGTCCCTAATGACCAAGTGAATTTAATCTGAGGCTTTGAGGTACAACACTAAAGAGGGAAGAAGCTCAGTAGGCGTAACCTGAGTTGGGAGCCTCATATCCTAGTGATAGAGGGAAACCTTAATTATGAAATACGGAGAAAAAATTGATCTCCCAACGTAAAATTTACCTGGAACAAGTTCATGTTCTCTAAAACCGAATAATGAATTTTAGGAACAAACGGAGGTTATAAGCAGAATATATTTATTGAGGGGAAGAAAGCTCCTGTCCGTGAGAGAGACAGGAGGCCACCCCTCATCACCACCACCGAAGCAAGTTGTCCCAGGGAAGCTATCTCTTCCAGGGACTTTTATAGAGGAAAACCATGTGGTGAGGTGGGGTCTAAGGTGGTGGAGAAGACATGGGAACTCATTTAGGTGGGCATGAGGTGGGACAAAACTATGGTCAACCAATGAAATTAGAAGGACCATTTGTCAGGTAAAATTGATTAAATCCAGTACCAAATGGGGAAGCCAGTCAAATAGCAAGCGGGCATGAATATGGGACAGGGTTTCTTCCTGTTGGTGGTTGGGCCAGTGATTCATTTGGGCTCTTTCAAGGTGATTGATACCTATTTAGAATATCAATCCCTGATGCCCATCCCTAGGGAAGTATGTAACTTGTGATTCCTCTTTTGTCTTGGTCTTGAGGTGTGGCCCATATGGGAGTGTCTGTCTCTTCCAAGTTGCAAGGTCACCTTGTTATCCATCTTGTCTCATCGAGGGCCTGGCCCTGTCTAACTGCTTATAATATTTCTGTCTAATTCAGCTGCCAACAACACTAGTGGTACCCAGGTCATGTTCAAGAAGAACACAAGGCTGAGATAGAAAAAATTCTGGGACATGAACAAAGTTGAGAGTTTTACATCTCAAGGAGTCAGAGCATTTCTACCCTGTGGTTCCCCAGTACTTTGTACTCTGAATCCAACAGCCCACTTCAGATCTTGCCATCAGTGGAAACCAAAGCTGTCTTTCACTAAGAGGCCGAAACTGCTTCCTGAAACTGCTTCCTAACTGCAGACTCACTCCTCCACCACAGAATTCATGGTATGTAGTTTCACTTTCTAAGTTCAGCTCACATCCTGATTTAGAGAAAAGAAAGGTATTCTTTTTGGGAAGTAGGCTGAACAGGTCATGGGCTGCTCTAGATTCTCTTGTCCTACTCTGGTTGAAGAAAGAAGACATGAAATGAAACCTTGAGTCCACAGTAAAAAATGAAGGGTGCCTAAAATAGTGCATATTTAAGGTTTTTTTTTTTTTTTTTATTAACTCAGTTGTTTTAAAAGAAATATTCAAATAAAATAAATAAATCCACAATAAAATGTGTAATACTGTTATACAAAGAATATGAGGAAAGAAATTAAAATATACTCTTCCTAAATTCTTATATATGAGTGATATAATATTCAAAGGCATCCTATGTAAGAAAAATTTGTTGAAATACCGGAAACACTTCTGAACTTAAAGAAGCATAACCCACATGCTAAGTACAGTGATACAAATGGAACACCAAAAGGGAAAATAACTAGACGAATAGCAGGAAAGATGTCTTTATTCATATCAAAAGTTACATTACCTTGAATTTCTATTTACAGATCTCTAAATGGTCAAAGCACTCATTCAAAATCAAAGATTGTCACCTAGGATTGAAAAAGCAATAGCCAACTATTTGAAATTTACACAAAACTTTCTTTGAGCTGGGTGTGGTGGGACACACCTGCAATCCCAGCACCTGGGAGGGTGAGGCAGAAGGATCACTGTGAGTTTGAGGCCAGCCTGGGCTCCATAATGAGTTCAAGACCAGCCTGAGCTGCATAGTGAAGTCCTGTTCCCCCAACCCCTATAAAAGGTAAAGATATGAGTAGGCTAAAAGTAAAAGATGGAGAAAGAAATACCAAGCAAACCCCAATAATGTAAAAGCAAGAATGGTTATTTTAAAACCTATATTAGTTTTAAATTACTTAAATTCAAGATGACTAAAGTGTACAAATTTTTCAGTAATGTTTGTAAGTAATTTTCAGTAATTTTTGTACTGCTAAATATAAATCTACTTTATTTTATACAAGCCTTTACTGGTTGAACTAACACACCCAAGCGTTACTTGGGGTATTCAGTATGTAAGTAAATGTGTAGCCCAAGTGGGCACTTGGTATAAAATGTGAAATGGTTAATGTCGAAGTAGAACTCAGGATAAAGATAAAAGGATCATTTAGCAGAGACAAAGGAATTATTCAAGTAAGCATAAACTTAAGTGAGTATATAATAATAGAACTTTAAAACATGTGAAACAAAAAAATATCAGAAAGGAAAGGAAATATATGCAGGAATAACATTGGAGATTTCAATTCTATTACAATAAATCACACAGCAAGTGCACAGAATACTAGTAAAGATATGGAAGATTTGAAAGTTCACCTAATTGACATTTACACTAAAACCCACCCAACAGGAGCAAATCACACTCTTTTCAGTGCACATGGGATATCAACATGATACACTACATATTGGGACATTACACAACTCCCAGTACATTTCAGAAGAATTAAATCACACAGAATGTTTAGAGAATCCAACTAAAAATAAATAAGATATTCTTAGGAAAATGAATATATATTTCAAAATTAAATGCTACATTTTTGAATAGATCATAGGTCCAAAAGTTAAACATACCTCCTATTTAATTTAGCATTCCACTCCTCGATTTTTATCTATGATAAAATATAAGTTTATAGACAGACTTGTGCATTAATGTTCATAGTAGCTTTATTTCTGATATCTACAACTATAAATACTGAAATGTCCATGAGTAGATTAACCCTTAAGTTGCAGTGTATATTTTATTACAAGAAAGTGCTGCACAACAATGAATACCAATAAACTACTAAAAAGAGAACTCCCATAATAGTAGTAGGTTATTCTCAGGGCTGGCAATGTCAGAGATTGTTGACTTGAGCCTTTTACAGCTCAGCATATTAATATGGTTTTACTTTATATACCTTGTTTTTATACTTTTCTGCTGGATGGTTATGACCAAGATAAAACAAGACCAATATAACAAAAAATGTAATTTTTATATCTGACAAGTTCAATCAAATCCCCTCAGGATTTCTGCTGAAACCCTGTACCACAGTTTGTAGATGTTTTGTCAGTGTCAGCCATCTGAATGAGTCACGGCCATTTCTTGTCCAATTTGCTCTCTGGACTACTGGGCTATATTGGATTACTTTGCTGAATTCACGCACCTATAATATTTGAATGGCAATGGAATACCTATCTCTGACAAAAGTAAACAAAAAAGGGATATAAATGGAGGACCATTTTGTAGTGAAAAATATGTATTTATATACAAAATTGTTAGGATAGATATACAGCTACTTTCCCTTAGTTCAATGAGAAGAAAGATTTGTACTAGTAGTGTTTAGACAAGATATCATATCTGCATCTTGTACTATGAGTAACTATTATGAAGAGAACAATACACAATGTATTATTGTAACTTCTACTAACCTGTTTTGATACTGTCTCAATGCTATTTATTTCTCAGTAAAATTAATATTCAAATTAAAATAAACTACAAAAAAAAAAGAACCCTCAGATTCTTCTCAAAACCACAGTGCCAACTAAGGAACAAGCACAGTTCTACTTATAGGAAATTCTCACACTGGTGAGAAAAGCAGAAAGAAAATCAGCATCAGCAGGGCTGGGGACATGGATAACCAGGAAGCATTAGAGACTTTGAGGAATACAAAAACTTCTGCCTGTGAGGATGATAGGAAAGTAATTAAATGGGTGATTATTTTAGATAATATTTGTTGAATTACACCCAGAAACATTATGTCTCCATTAAATTTACTGTACTCAAAAAGGTGTGAAAAACACTATGTAGATTTAACAAAAAGATGCTCAAAGTGCTTAAAGGCTCAGAGAGGTGTTCTCGGAAGAAGAGATGACATGGAGGAGGGCAAGGCCGAAAGTTTCCCTGCAACAGTCCCGGTTTATATCAGTTCTCCTGATTTAATTAGGAGAAGCAGCCTTCTCAAGGAAAGAGTCATGTAAGCCAGAAGTGTCATTGCATGAGAGGAAGAGATACATTTAGACTGGGACAGGAAACCACTGATGAGGATGCTTTGGTCAAAATAGACACAAACTAAGCTACTGAAGGAACTGGTTTCCATCTCCAGAGGACCTTGGAAAGGTTATTGCCAGGAGGAAGTAGCTTTATTTATGATATCTACAACTATAAATACTGAAATGTCCATGAGTAGATTAACTTGGCACAAGGCCGCCAAGTGCAGCATGCCCAAGACAAGGCAGAACCACCTAGGAAGCCTTAACACACCCTCTGTGGTTCCACCTGGCAGGATCTCAGCACTGCAGGCAAGCCTAGCCCCTCCTTCTTGCTGTGTGTCCCTCCTTCTTGCAGCAGGCAAAGACTCATTGTGGGCTACCTTTAAAGACAGCAGTTTAAGAAAGGCTATGCATTACCTCTTAACATATGACGAAAGGTGACCATGGAGCTCATTGACAGTAAAAGGACAGAGAACACCACACTGAGCAAGGAGCACAATTTCATAGAGTATTATTATGCTGTCAGATGGGTTCTAAGAAAAAAAGTCAAGTAGGTTTGGTTCACACAGAGGCCAAGTTTGGAGGGAGCTAAACAGAACACCACCACCTAGAAGTAGCATGAGGGAAAAAAATCAAGGAAAGGATCTCTTACCTTTTGGTGTGGCCTCCAGTAGCTAGCAGCCTCTATCTGTGCTTTCAGTTGCATAGCAGCCAATGAGTGTTTTATGGTGGAGCCTAAAACTCGCACAGGAAAGTCCTGCCAGAGTCTCCCACTTCTCCTAACCTCTGCTGTTTCTGCTTCTGTAACCTCACCTGCACCAATGCAGTATTCTCTAGAGAGTAAAAGTAGTATAAAAGTGAAAGCAAAGCCTTGTTTGGGGTTCTTAGCATGACAGAGTCCCCTGTAGACCTGCCAGTCATAAGGTCTCTTTTTGTTCCTATTCTCTGTCAGATCTCTGCATCCTGGATCCCGTTCATCTCTCACTTCTTTGCCAAAGACAGTATTATGTCCTACATTTTCAAGGCATGGTACCAACTATGTGAGATAATGAACAGAGGGGTGTGTATCAACCTTTGGCACAGGAGGAAACTGTAAAATGCTAGAACTCATCTCCTGAGCAATGTGATCAATGATTCACCTCAGTGCCTCACTCCTCTATGTTATGGGTAGGTGCCAAAAGAAAGGAGAAGACCTGGTGAACATAGATAGAAATCAGAGGTCTCACTGAAATTAGTCTCTCTCCAAGTGAGCCCAGAGCCTCAGAAGCATCTCACATTTACTGAGGGCTAAAGGCAGGCTAAGGAATGTACATAATTACTTAAGTGAATACAAATTACTATCTCTATTGACTTCCACCCTTTGCCTAACTCTAGGTCCACACAAATGCTAGCTGACAACATAGGAAGCAAGGGATCAAAAACAGCACTCCAGAAGGAAAAGCTGTTATCTGCAGCCTTGAATCCCAGCTTGCTGGGAATTTACAAGGGACAGACAGCAGCTCTCCTTGGGCTCTGTCTATTCCTCCCTGCTCCCTTGGGACATTAGGCTTTTGACTCATATCTATATTTCTATATCACTCTTTTCAAAGTTCTGATTCCATTCCCTCTCCATGCAGAAAGACAGCAACCCAGGTTGCACCCCATACCTTAATTCTGAGGAATCTTTAGCATAGCTTTCTAACCTGCCTGAGAATAGGGAAGCTCTACCATTCTCAAGCATCAGAGTCACCTAAGGGACTGATTGTAGGGCCCCATTCCAGAATTTCTCACTCAGTAGGTCTGGATAAGGACCCAGATATTTTACATTTCTAATAAGTTAAAATGCTACTTCCAAATCTGCTGGTCATGACCACAGTTTGAGGTGTGTTTTTTTTTTTTTTTCTTTTTCTTTTAGAGTTTTGAGACAAGGTCCAAGCTGGCCTTGACCCCACTATATAGTTCAAACTGGCCTAGAACTCACTGTGATCCCCCGGCCTTGGACTCCCTAATACTGGGGTTATAGGCCTATGCCATAATGCCCCATCTACATTTTTAAATGGTTGAAATAAAACCACACCAGTAACATTTTGTGACATGTGGATACTATGATACTATTTACATGTGGATGAATACTTAGTGGCAGTATTTATGAATAAATTTTATTGGGACAGTTATGACCATTCATATATCACCCAAGCTGCTGAGTTGGCAGTACCAGGGTAGAAGCCAGCCTGACTCTCCCAGCCCCACCCTGCTGCCAGCAGAGCTGCTGTTCTCAGCCCGGAACTCAGCACCAAGGTTGTCATCAGCAAGCACAGGATGTCCTGAAGCAGAAAAGTCAGGACAAGGAATGGTGTAGTTTTAGGGCATCTCAGAGTATCTGGAGACTAGAAAATTTGCACGAGACACTTCAAGGACTTCACCCACTGAGGGGCAAGACAGCCAGAGAACTTGGACCACAGATGTGGATTAACATCTTCCTGTTTGATATCCCTTGCCTGATTTCTATGCCTATAAAAGGCATACATCTCTTTTTGTTCCCCACAGATGGTTTTTTCATCCCCTGTCTGCCTGTGCCCCGGCTCAATGACTTTCAGGCCGTGTTGCCTTTACACAAGCCCAGTTGCCTCAGCTGGTCTCTGCCCCACAGGTGAGTTGTTGCCATGGAGGGCATGTGCCCACAGTTTCTCAAGTATTTACCTGTCTTGCTGGGTATTGCACTTAGGAGATTGAAGCAGGATCTCTGTGTGTTTGAGTTCAACTAGACAACATGATGAATTCAAGCTCAGCCTGGAATACACAGCAGGAAGCTGTCTCAGAAACCAAATTAAAATATTTACACTCTGGTCCTTTACAGAAAACGTTTGTTCACCAGACATTTCAGCTCATATCCAGCACTCAGAAGGCTCAGGCAAGAGCACCCCAGCAAGGTTAAGGCTGGCCTGGGCTATACGATGAGTTCAAGGCCTGCCTGAATGACATTATGAGACCCTGTTTCAAAAAAACATATATTTTCTGACTTATGGCTTAGAGTCCTAAACACTGTCCATGAGCCCTAGACAGTGTTTTTGGAGAAAATGGAAAAATCCAGAAGTAATGCAACCACAATTTATAATTGTTAAAATTTTGCCCTTCATCTCACATCCATTTATGGGTAAACTGACGAACAGCTTCATGATGTTCCTCAGGCTCCCTTCCTCTTTTCCACCTGTATTTCCACTTTTTCTGTGTTTTTTTTCTTTTTTTTTCCACTGTGCTTCTTATCCTTGCCCATAGCATTCTATACTGAGCCCTACCCAACCTGCACTTCCTTTCTTGTCTTGGGTTGTCATGAATTTAATATGCACCGTCCTGTGATATTTAAAAAAAATTGCATGTATCCATAGATAATACACAAATTGATGATTTTGTGCATATTCTGCAAATTATTGTTTTATTCAACAGTCTGTTTTGGGGTTCTCTTCATGTTGGTACCACTGGATCTAATACATATTTTCTTTTTTTCGACTACTGAATATTGAACCCTGGGCCTTCTCGTGGTGCTATATCCACAGCCCTTTATTATTTAAATTTTGAGAGGTCTCAGTAGGTTGTTGCATTGTCCAGACTGGGTTTGAACTTGAGATCCTCCTGCCTCAGCCTCCCAGAGTGCTGGGATTACAGGCCAGCACCACTCCAGCTATGTGGCAGTAAGTATTCCCTCAAATGTCCATGAGGTATTTCACTTACTCCTCTGGTGAAGATGCAGGAGGCTGTAAATGCATGTATTTTGGTAACCAGAAAAGAGGCCGTCATGGCATGGAAATTGATTGGAATCCTTTGTAACTATCTGCCTTAAGAGCTCTGCAGCCTGGAAATTCTGAGGAGCAGAACAAAGCTGGGGGAAGGGAGGTACCCCGCAGACCATAGCTCTTTGAACCTTTCATTCC